AGCACCTACTTAGAACAAGCTTAGCAAAGCACAGGGACCACGGTTCAATCCCCCAGCACCACATGCCAGCCAGCCCCGCCCCCAGGTGGGCTGAGTTGGCCACACACACACACACACACACACACACACACACACAAATAAAGAATGTTTTAAAACATGTTTCCTATTTTGTTTAGCATGAGAAATGCTCTCCACAGCAAGGGCACAATTTCCACGTCATAGGAATGTAGTCTCTGTGAAGGTATGTGTTGCATGAAGGTATTTGTGTGTTCTCATGTGTATTTTTTATTAGATTTTACTTAACAGTCTTCCTTGGCTGGAGAGATAGCTTAGTAGAATAAACACCTGCCTGGCAAGTGTGAGGTCCTGAGTTTAATTCCTGGTACCATCAAAAAAAAAGACAGTCTTCCTTGTTTCTGAAATTTAGCTAAAAGATAAAAATTTATCTTCCATAGGAACTAGTCATATTCTTCCCCTTTGGAAGCAGTGAGACACAGCTTTGACTAGGGAGCTAGAATGACCCCTCCGAAGGGCACCTGTACTGCTGCCCATTGTGCCGCTAAGCTCACTGTGCTCCCCCAGAAAAAACACAAGCTGGTGCGTGGTAAAGGTTGTTTCCTCCCCTATCAAATGAAAAGGAGTAGAAGGGGCCTAAGGTATAGCTCAGTGTGTAAGAGGCTCTGGGTTCGATCCTAACCATACGTGTGAGTGTGCAACGACCCAGAGTGTACCTGTGTAGTTTTCACTAAGCATGTGAGTTTTCTGGTCTATGTCACAATGTGATGACGTACCAGGGATGGTGATGTGCACTTGTAGATCTCAGCATTCAGGAGGCTGAGGCAAGAGGTTCACCATGAGTTCTAGGTCAGCCTGGGCTTTATAATGAGCTCAAGATCAGCCTGAACTACACAGCGAGACTCTCTCTCAAAGAAAAAAGGAAAACTAATTTGTTTCTAGTGTCAAAATTTGAGAGAAGTTTAAATTTCTCATAACCCCACCACCTAGACATGTGTTTTTTGTATTTTTTCATTAAGTCTTTAAAGAACTGGCCCTAGCTCAGTTCTTTAAGTGGCTGCTTCCACAAAGCTGTCAGCCTCAGGTTGCTGTAGTTCAATCCCCACAACACTCCAGCCGGCCAAAAGTGCCCTGAAGGCATTCGAGGAGGGAAAAAAAAAAAAAAATCCTTATATGTGTGTGTGTATCAGTTTTTAAGCAAGATTGTTCATTCATTTAAAAAGCATTTTAGGGCTGGAGAGATGGCTCGGTGGTCTAAAGCACCTATTTAGAACAAGCTTAGCAAAAGCATCAGGGACCGCGATTCAATCCCCCAGCGCCACATGCCGGCCAGCCCTGCCCCCTGGTGGGCTGAGCTGGCCTCTCTC